CTTCAAAAAAACAAAAAAAAAAAACAAAGGAAGAGAAAGCTCAGCCCCGAGAGCAAATTAAGCCCAATTCAACTGAAATCTCACAACACAAACGTGGTCATCTTCAAGGGATGAACAAGCAGAGGGACTATGAGCGCCAATCATCCAGCATGCCTAGTAGCAATGGTTCCAGGAATCCACAGGTGCACTTAATCTTCGCTGCAGTGTGTGTGTGCTACCTGCAGACAGGTGGGTTTACTAGCAGACAGCCTTGATCAGGATGTGCTTGATGTTGGATCTTTGCAGCTGAGATGTGTATTCGTACCGGACAGGTGGCGTTACTTGCAGATCGCCTCCAGGGCATCCAGGGTGCGTTTGATGTCACGTATCTGTGCAGCCAGGGTGTGTATGGGCTGCATGGAACGATCCAGCTCCTCGCAGCGAGCCATCAGCGTGTACATGCCCTGTGGGAGTCAAAATATAAGGCAGGCAATAAAATCAAACGGCAGCGAAATGATGGGAACATGACAGAAATAAAAACTATATTGTCTGATCATAGTCCGCTAACCCTTCAGTTGGCATTTGGATATAAATATACTTCAAGGTCACAGTGATTTAATAACAATCTTTTATCAGACGGAAAAAGTTGTTGAGTTGAGTTAAAAAGCCACATAGATTTATATTCATCAACAACACTCCAGATATGACTAGATCTACACTATGGGAGGCACTAAAGGCCTATATCAGAGGGCAGATCATTTCTCATAGCAGTTTAATCAATAAGCAACAGACAGAGAGAAACTTAGCTTACAGTTGAAATTACAGAGACAAATTGACAGTACTGTGTTTCCCCTTCCTTCGACTCGCATAAAAGAAAAATCCCTTCAAACTGAACTTAATCTAACTCAAGAAGAAAAACTATGATACTATGATAGGATTATCCACTTGGAAGATTTAGTAACTTTTTGTTCTAGTAGCCTGTATTCCTATAAAATGACAATAACATGACAGCCAACAAACAAAAGAGGATGTATAAAAGATAACACAATTTAAAACTAAAAGTTCAGCTATGTTAAATCATTTTGTAGTGAAAGTTTATAATTCCTGTTCTGACAGAAGTACTCAACTACATTTTGTGGTTTCCTCCATTTCCCAGAATTACTACTAACTATTTGTTGCTTTCTGTCTCACACACACACAAACACAAGGTCACCTTTATACTCATGTCCACAGACTCCCCTAGGCTGTCAACTGAGTCTCTGTAGGTCTGGATGTAGCCCACACTCAGAGCTGTCATCTGGATGAATAGACAGAGGGATCAATCAGTGACACAGACTGACGCAAAAGAGATACGTGTGAGAAATATTCAGTATGGAACAGACAGACAGCATGGAACAAAATGAGAATAGTACACTAAATACCATAAATTGGGTCATTTGAAGACAGGACCGACAGTTTTAGACTCACATTCTGGATGGTTCCATTGAGGCTCCGCATCATCATCTCCACACTGTGTGCCACTTCCTGGGTGTGTTTCTGAAGATCCAACAGGACAGCGGGATCAATGGGAGGGATATCTGCCGGTCTCCGTGACAACCCCCTGCTTCGGTAGATGGGACCTGAACAGTCCGCTGGTGAGAAATAATTATGAAGTTAGATGCATAATATACACTAAGAGAGCTGCAACTAATGGTTCTTTTCTATTGGTTATTCTATAGTATAATAAGTATAATCAAAAAAATGAAACCCATGTATAAATAGTGTGTAAGTAACAGTCCAACACCCAAAGATATTGAATCTATTATGATTTTAAACAGATAAAAGCAGAAAATTCAAGAAATACCTGACTGTCAAAACTTGATTTTCTGCCAATTAGCATTATATTACTACAAACACACATTCATACAGACAACACAGACAGTCAGAGAAAGACGAGTGAGAGTGAAACCACCAACAGACACGAGCTAAAAATGACTGAGAATAATTGAGTTGAAAGAGAAAAAAATGTATTCCCGTTTGAAAAAACACCTGCTCTTATAAAAAGACTGCCTGCACAGATTTAAACAAATGATGGCCCTTAACTAAAACACTTGTGCCTTTAATCATTAAAACTTGGAATACATAAAACATGTGTGGCCAGTGAACGTGGGAGGAAAAAAACAGGTTTCCATCTCGGAAAATGGGTCCTGTCAGGCTGCAGCAGGACCTCAGTTATAAATCCCTCCAGTCTAAACAAAGTCTGTGAGTCATCCATTGTAATTGAATCAGCAGGTAGAGGGAATGAGCAGCCGAACAGGGCATATTGACTGTGTTCCTGTGTTTAAATTGAGTGGCCAGTTTAGCTGACACTCTAGTCCAGAGGGGTTTTTCTCTGAATGAAGGGCAGCAGTTCAGAGTGCTTCTCCTGGAAAATCTGACAAGACAGATGGCTGCTAATGGACAGGCTGGACTAAGTCAACCTGCTGAACTTCTACAGATGATTTGATTTCTGAAACTGCCGTATACGTGTGACCTTTTGGAAATTGATCTTTAAATTTCTGTGGGGTTGTGTCTGGTGCCTCGTTAAAACACAGTCTGAGGCTCATTTAACCACCCAGGAACAAGTAAAAAGATGGACAGAGTGAGGGTAAAGTGTCTTTGTCACATTTTAATTACTTATCTAAAAATCTCACCTAGAATGATACAGCTGTTTAGGATTAAATGAACAAACTACAAACATACCACACTATACAGGACATCCAGCTGATTTATTATAAAAAAAAAAAAACATTATAATGTAGTGTAACCCTTTTACTAAATTAGTCTCAAACCTGAAGAACAAGAGAAAGACTGAGTACAACCAGTACAGTCACAAAGCTGTCTAACAAGGTCTGATAGCTATCGAAAAAAGGTTGCGACCCACATGTTTTTGCGGCTGCCATTGTTTGCCTGACTAACAGCTACCATCCCTCATATATAGCAGATGTCCGAGCAGATATAAGAAGCACTTCAGAAACTTGTTGTTGTTTACCATGTATGTTCTAAGTTATTGGTTGCATTGTATAAGCACTGTCAAAGCAATAACTCCATTTCACTGTGACCATGAACGGTTTCATTCAGTCCAACCAATAAGGAAACCTGACAAAGATGATAACTGATAAAGATGTGAATCTAGAGTTTCTCTTTGCTACACTACTCTGTTCTTCAACTAAAGCTATCACGAGCACACAGTGGACTTCCTCACTGAACTGATATATCTCAGATATATCAGTTTCACATGTTTGCCTCTAAGAGGTTTTTTTTTTTATCTACTCAACAAAACACGTCAAATGATGATGACTTAATGATAAATTTGACTTACATATGTTAATCTATACTAATAATGTTAGTCATGTTTTCAGACCTTCTGCATGCTACCAAAGGTCAAGAAGAGAAAGCAATCTGCACAGTCTTCATTACAAATATGCACTGTAATCAGGTCAATATATACTGTATGATCAAGAGCTTAAGTAATAAAATAATAAGATGAAAAACAATTTTAAATTAAGTAAAATAAATTAAGTACAATTTGCAGAGACTAGTCTGCTGCAGTGTGAACACTGCAGGATAGTAGATGATTCATGTAAGCATCCATCAGTTAATCACAAGATGACACAGCAATTAATTAGCTCGAGATATATCATCGATTTTCCATTACTTTGACCAAAGTTATGCATAAATGATGAGAAGTGACTGACTCGGCCTGCATTTAGAGCAAAAAAAATGGCTCTAAATCTGCAAGTCAGACACCCTGCACTGCAGTTTCAGCCCCACTGCCAATAAAGATGCTATTAACCTGCTGAAATGCCATTTCTGGCCCCTTCTGCAGAGAAAAATAAAAGCAGTTCATCGGTTAGAGCCTCCTGACCCTCAATTATTATGCAGTTGTGAATCTGCATAGATTGCACTATGTACATCCTTCACATCAGGACATATATGCACATGTCAAATACAACACAACAAAAGAAAAAACACAAACACATACTGTATATACCCACACTTCCACTAAAACGTCCACTAATGGGGCAATGGCTTACAATAATAGAAGAAGAAAATGTCCTTTATTTGTATGTTTAGATAAAATCTTGTGAATTAGGCCTCAGCTCATACTCACAGTCACTGCAGTCCAGACTAGGCTTAGAGCTCATCTTGATTTTCTGCTCCAGGTTCTTGGTGATGAAGTGAGTCAGGTCTCCTTCATGGCTGACCGTCCCTTCGAGCTCCAGAGCTGAGGAGATTGTGGCCCGTCGGCCCTCTGACTGGCCACCTCTGCCTCCTCCCCGGGCCCCCGAACCACCTGTGGAGAATACGCCAACATCACCTGAATCATGCAGTAAAATACTGCCAGTTCTTACTGACCTTAATGTAATTCCACTACGTTAACCTGTCTGACTGATATCTACCTCCACATGCTTGGCTGATTTCATCCAGGCTCTTGCTGTCCTGCATCCCCCGGACGTTGCGAACCCAGACCTGGGCCATGACGTGGGGAGGGCAGGGGACGTCATCAGAGGGCAGAAGAGGAGGTGGAGGCGAGGAAGAGGACGTGGTGCTGGGACCGGGGGCTGATGAGGAGTAGTGTCGCGAAGACTGAAGGGTACGTGAGGAGGTGAACAAAGAATGGAGTAGAAGGGGAAGTGAAAAAGAGAAGTAAAATGACTGCTTAATAAATCCCAGTGACAAAGCATTATGAAACCACCCCGAGAGCCTCACATATTTCTTGCTGTTTATAATCTCTCCCTTCTCTGTGCTCACGTCTCAACAGAGTCTATTTAAATGCAAGCAGTTACGTCCTGATGATTTGCCCTTCCTTTAGTTCTGATTGTGCTCATTACAACTGCTGACTGTCGCCATTTGTCATTCCCATGATGCCCTGCACTCTCTCTGGTCCACATAATCTAGTCCACTCACCTCTACCTCTTTTCTTCCTCCTGCACGCTGATGAATCCACTTTTTTTCATTCTTCTCATCGTCCTCCTCGTCCTGTTTTTCTTTCTCTCCATCTTCCTCGTCCTCCTCTTCCTCTTGGCTATCAGTGCCTCCATCTACAGCCTCTGCCTCCGTCTGCTGTCTGTACGAGGTGGGAGAGCCTCCTCGCTGAGATGAGTCTTTGGAGTGTGCTTGCTGTGCAGAGCCCCACAGCAGAGCTGCACCGGGAGGCTCGACGGTGTCAGAGGCCTCGGGAATGTCTGTGTCTTTAGAGCCTGATTCTGAGTCTCCTGTGCATGTAGCAGCAGGGAGGGAGGGGTCTGTCACATGAGAGGTGTGTGATGATAAACTAGATGTTCTCTCATTATTGTAGGTCTCTGTCTCCAAGCGGCCTTCGCCATCGTAAACTCTGTTTTCCACATCTACGTGGTTCTCTGCGTGTCCAAGGGCTCTGTCTTCAGACTCCTCCTCAGGACAGGGCACTCTGCTTCCCCCACATTTCACTGGGACCGGAACATGAGGGCCGTTCTCTGAAGGGACGGGTGTCACAACTCCGTTAGCCGTTTCTGGCACTTCTGTGCCAATCACAGGGGAGAGACTCATCCCTCCACCTGCTGGTGAAGAAAGAGAGAACGTTGGAGGAAGAGATTCTGCTTTTTAAATCCATATCTAATCCATAATTCAATTAGAGTGGTTCACCACTCGTCTGAAGGGTTTTACCATGTAGCACAGCTGACTAGAAGTGGGTATGATTTGAAGATTTTCTTTCTTTTCTTTGTTTATGGGATTGCTTACTCAATGTATCAGTGTTAAATTAGGGACTTTTTTAGCGTAATCTAATATATATTGTCGTATAGTCCATTTGTGAAATTTCACTTAACTGTTCATGGGATACAACAACAAGATAGGGATGTCTGTTCTTGTTTAATCAAGTAAATTACATATAGTTAAGGTACATAACACAAGTACAAAGTCTGTAAATTCTAGTGTTGCATGAAGAAGTCCTGCACACTGATCTGCAACATTACCAACAATGGTATAACAACATAACCAGAGAAATAAAAAGGGAGCGCGACCGTATACACTGTCTCTCAGTCTCCTGAATGAAGTAAGAGAAGTGCTCAGGAAAAGTGGGACATTTAGGTTCTGAGGAAGGGACAGTGGTGAGGACTGGGATCTACACAGATACACAACATTGCAGTGCCGCAGTTCAACATGTTACATGCCAGTGGTTTATCCTCAGTCCAGATGTGAAACTTAAGATCTTAACCCTGTGTGTTAATATGAAGACTGTAAGTCAAGCTCACAACCATTGAATCACGACACGCCCTTGTATCCTGTTATTAGATTCGTTTCCAGGACTCTTGGCTCACAGTAGCAGCTGCTGTGGAGGACAGATGTGGAGGACAGATGTGCCACTGACTGCTCAGTTTGTGTGAAATGACGTAATATTAGGCTGCTTAGCGTAGCACTAGCTTAGACACTGAACTAACTTAGCTAGTGTTAACACTAGCTTGCTTTGAACTCTCAACACTTTATCCAAACACCGCCTCTGAAGGTTGAACAGAAGTCCGTGGGCAAAGACGAAGACGCTGTTTGACGGACACACGGGAACAAAGACACGAAGGAGACATTAAAGACTGTCAGCGTTGAGGAAGTTGATGTGCTGCTGTCGTTAGCCGGCTAACGCTAGCTGCCCAGGCCTTTAAATGATTTAAATTAAATCACAATGTTTGCATTGTCTCACTCTGTGACATTATAATGGATACCTGGTTGTGAAACCCGCATGTATCTGTTGATAAGGTCACACCATAGTTCCACAGAGCTGAAATGAAATAAAGAAAACACTCACCAGTGTAGTTCCTATTCAGAGAAATGTAAGCAGCTACCGAGTCCGATATGAAAATCCTTCCCCACAGAGCTCAACAGAATAGTTCCGCCTTGCAAAAAAAAAAAGCTTTTCAAACGACATAATTAAAAATGTTGATGATGCCAACTCTTTTATGTTGACACAGCAGTATATAATAGAGTAACAGATTTATAGAAATAAGTAAACACAATTTTACCCTGACCTTCAAGTCATTGTTGTATTTAAGTATTTAAAACAAGCCTAAATAATTACAGAGCCGTGCTGCTTCATACTGAATAACATTTGGCTCTTGCTTGTTGTAGCTGGGTGAGATTATTTGTTTCTATACACACCATCACGGTTCATCCTGTATGTATTTCTGTTCTCCCACAGATGGAGACAAACACCACATGGCCTCAGGCAATGGCTTCACCAAGAACGCAAGTTGCACAGAGGTGACTTCATAAAGCAAAATGTATAGAAGCAGAGTGTCCTGATGGACAAAGACAAAGGAGGAGGACGAGGGTGCAACACTCAGCGTTGTTGGCAGGTGAGCCTGAAGGGTCTTTGAACTCTTTCAGCTGTAGGCAGACAGCTGAGTCTGACCTCCCAGGGAGGGCAGTAAACAAGAAACACATGAATTTCCTCAAATAAAATTTGAATATGAACACTGAAGATATTGTGTGTCTTTAAGGTTATATAAAAACATGGTTTGAGTGAAAGCTGTATTTTTTAAATATACCTTTTACAGTTATGTTATAAGATCAGTGTGTCCTGACTGTGCCTATGTAATGATCTGAACATGTAATCCGTTGATTGCATACTGTATGGTGCTTAGTGACCAGTTTACTTTTCAGGAGTTATAATGACCATACAAAACAAAAACTCAGTAAATTCAGCAGAACTATAATTAAAAACAAAAGCAGGGATTCAAGCAGTGAAATACTGCAGACAAAGACTAAATAATCATTTCTAATCGCAACATGATACTAATCAAGGGAATCAGGGAATCATAATTACATAATTATTATTGATATAAACATAAGATCCCTTCTTGTTACCTCATCCTCACAGGATCATCTTACAAACTGGTGTTTAATTATTCCGATCGATTCCAGTCATCATTAAAATACGTTTCCAGTGTGCAAAAGGGCAACCGGGTTTCACAATTTCTCACAGTTGTGTCTATTTAAATTAGCTGCAGAACTGCTGTTCTTGTTTTACCTCATAAACCACTGATGATTCTGATGGTGAACACACTGGAGAAGAGGCTTAAATAATCAGAAGGTTTTCGGATTAGCTTGTTTGCCTCCACAGTGGAAGCCGGGCCAGCGTCTGTGGTTTTTCTAAACCTTTGAATGTGGCAAGAAATGACAAACACTGTTGCAGAGGAGGAGAGAGTATTCAAAACCACACTGTCACCACATCTAAAGATCTTGTAAAATATCTAATCTACCCCATCCATTCAGGCCAGCTGCTCCCTCTCTCTCAGTGGAGATTTGGCTGTTTTGTCTCATTTGTTCCCTCTCCTTTTGTACTAAACATCAAAGCCTGAGACATTTACCTAAAGACAATTAGACCTCTGAAATAAGCCAATGGTTTCCAGAGTTTCCCAATAGAACACTCAATAACCACTGTGACCCTCACCAAAGTTTCTTTTTCTTTTTGAGATTACTGTCAGAGGGAAGCTATTTTAACAGACAAGTAACTGCCACAAGAAAGGCAACATTTAAGAAAATGAGGGATGCAACGCAAATTGAAAGCACGTGCCTTCAAACAGATGTGGTTTTTTTCCATAATAAAAGTTGGAGACTGCATGTTGCACATTGGCAGCCAGAATGACAGTGAGGGCCTCTAAACCATATTTCCATAAATCACAAATATTAATTGCATCCCAGTTCAGAGGCAGGTCGACTGTATTCTTCAGAGGACCAGAGCTGAACCTCCTCCTCCTCAAATGAGACAGTTTATCCTTACAGAGACCAAAACTAATGCTGCATTCAGGTGCTTCTCATCAACTACCAACACCAGGAAGCTGCCTTCAAATGGCAGACTGAAGGGGATAGAAGAGAAGGAAAGGGCAAAAGCCTCACACTCTAAACTCCAATCTTTTTGTTTTAAATGTTAGTTTAAAATGTGAGCAGAACCTGCTTTCCTCAGATTAAATTGTAGTCTATGTACTAGTAAATTAATTTCAAATGAAACTCAGGGATCTGTTTTATTAAAATGTACTTGTTGTGAACTACCAGAGGAGTTTCAATAGCCAAAACCTAAGGCACAAAATATTCAGCATTACCATTTTTAGACGTTTACATTATGATACAATATGTCATGGGGGACAGTGGGGGGCTTTGGGGGGAAACTTCAGTGAGTTTTTTGAAAAGGTTGTCGTGGCTGGTGTAGAAGAAAATGTATTCCTCAAGAATGCTCAACCGGAAGATCTAGTGGTTACAAGTCAGAGGAGAGGACACCATCAAACAGAGGTGTCTGTGGAAATATGTGCATATTCAACGACCATGATGCCCTCAAATGTCCAGTGGAATTAGTTTGAGATTCACAGAAAACCATCTGAGGCAGTTAGCTGTAAAATTCAATCTTAAGCATGAGCAGACAGTTTCATTCAGCCTGAGAACTTCACTGAAAGGGATACTGCGGTGAGGTGCACAAACCTCTTATTACACCTAAAAGGCACTTTTATGAGTAAAATGGTAAAAAGAAGGCTTTCTGGTTGACTGAGCACTGGGGGGAAAAAAGTCAAATGGGTAGATGAGTCACTCTGTGTGGCAAATGCCAAAAGCGTCTCTTCCTGAGTGCTTGTTTCCTACGCTGAAGTGTTCTGAAGCTCTGTAATGTTTGGTGCGTATTCCAACCATGCTGCATGTTTTTATTGAGTCATTTGGAGGGTGCGGAGAAAGCCAGCCAATATAAAGTACTTTTCAGTCACCACTCATGTAAAGTCTAGATGTTATGACAGAGTGCCACCCGGCATCCAGAGGTGGTTTAGCGAAGTCGATCTGTCATTTTTTTAACAGGAGCACATGTCTTGAGATTGTGGCTGTGGATTGCTGTGAAACTGTCACTGTCAGCAGGCCCCTCTGGATTTAATCCCAAATCTGTTGTAGTTTATGGTTTGAATTACCGCCTCAACACCTTCATGAGGTGCAAGATTGGTGTAGAAATTTCAGTCTGGCTTTGCTGTTTAATTTTTTCCAGCCACATTCATGCCCAAACCCACCACAGCTGTTCTCAGACGTTTACCATATTGTGCCTATGACTGTGATAAACCTGTCTTTTATGAGGCCCCTGTTGGTTCTTCACTCTGGTGCTCCATAATAAGTGATACAGCCATGCTAGTGGCTTTGGGAGGCTGTACTTATGGGCACAGCATGCTATTTAGCAAGTACTGTTTGCCATGTTCACCATCTTAGATTAGCGAGTTAGCATGCTAACAATTGCTAATTACCAATAAAGTTTAGAGAGGCTGATATAAAGGATTCGTCCTCTGGAAAACATGAATGGCTACAGAAATTTCATCTTGTATGTAGAGATAGTCTGCATAAGTGAACGTTTTGACCTGCTGGCGGTGTTGGAGGACAAGCCAGGACAATGTCAAACTCATAAGGATTAACCCTCTGGGGACAATGAATGTCTGTACAGCATTTCCAACCAACATTGTCATCCCTATAGAGTTGAGAAAACGTCTAGCAGCTCTGAAGGTAACCAAAGTATCACTGTACTAATGCTGTATGTTGGTAAAGAGAAACCCAAATGATCTTGTGCTCTTGAAGGATTTTGATATCTGTGTTCTTACAGTAAAAGTCAACTTTATTTCTCAGTTTCTTTTTTATAAACAGGAGGATTCCCTTAGTTATCTTAATACACACAATAACATTAAAATTTTTCCATCTAAAAGCGTCTGTGATGAGCATGTGAAAAGATGAGTCGCAGTCAGTGTTGAGAAGAAGTTTCCACTGCTCACACAAAAAAAGGCTTTTCTAAAACTTCCCCCGCAGAAAGGATTTAATATGTTTTGCATGGCCTCAATTAAATTCAATTTACACCAATCAGTCAAAGAGTCTATTTATTGAAATGAGGTCTAGTTTGCAAGGCTAGGTGGTACCCTTTGGCAATATTACAGTATAACAAGAGAGTCTATACGATATAATTATGGTATCACATCTTCGTCAGACACAAAGGCTTGTAGGAAATACTGGAGAAGGAATTTCTCATTCCTAACAAAATACACAGCAATGCAATACACTCATTTCTTTTTAATGCATGGTTGTCTGTGATATCCTGTTTCTCAGACTGGAACAGTATCAGTTCAATCCTCTCCTCAAGGAGATTCTTGTCCATGATTACAAAGTAAATTGAAGCAGTTAAAAAAAAAAAGCCACAGTTGCTCACAGTTGACCAGAGCCTGTCAAGTTTCAAAAGTAGTGTGCACACATTACATTATAAACAAACATCAGAAAACAATGAAGTTCTGCTGACCTCTGCATTACCTCAAGGGTTTGGAAACAGTAGAGCAACTAAAGTGGAGGATGCTGGGTATCTGGCTCGATTGGAACGTATCGTTCATCCATCAGATTGCTAAGCAGTACATACCAGCTGAACATTTAATGAGAAAGTACTGTATGTGGTCACTTTGGAAGAGATGGATGGGGTTTTGGTATTGTATGGTATGTTACTGTTTTGGAGTAAAGACAGTGATGGACAATGTGCATGAGAAATAATGAATCCCTGTAATGTAACTGTTTTTTGTGTCCAAACCTATTTGCGTGCATGTGCGTCTTTAAAAAATAAATGAATATGTGGGCCTGGTCTACTTCGCTGACAGCTGTGTATCCAAGATGTGAAAGCAGCCGAGGGCCCTGAGGTTTGCATTATCTGGGATTACATTGGATTGAATGCTCACTCAACTCAACCTCGACAAACTATATTTTATTTAAAAGTCATTCATAACTTTGTCTTTGTATAACATGTTAAAATTCCAGTATCACTGCAATAACTGCTTTTGTTGTCAAATAGAACAATAGAGCGATCTTTCAGAAGAGACCAGGATTGCGACATCAAATCAAAATGGTAATTTTCATTCAGGCATAAAAAGAGTGTGTGCTTGTTAATGGGGTTTGAAACTTGATGACAATGCATTGTTAAGATAATCCAATGGAGTTTTAAAGGTATGTATGAGCCAAAACGTAGGAGAATTAGCTTAACCCATAAAATACTTAAACTTAACTTAAAAACTAACAATACAGTGACACAGTTTTCACTTGACAGTGTGTATATCTACAGTATATTTGTCTTTGTGTGTAGTTCAGGAGTATCTGGATACGTATAGGCATAACCACAAAACACAACCATACTCATTTGAAAGCAGACCTTTATACATATTTACAAAAAGAAAAACAAAATCTCTGCACATGAGAGGAGATTATACAGTTTCATTCCGTCTGCAAAGAAGTCGTTCTGGAAAATCACAAGAGAGGAATATTGACACTGAGATGTAAATACAGCATAACAGAGTGAAACACATGAGGCCGTTGTAATGAATGAGGAGCAGCTCTGCCTCACGTCTTTGAGGGAAACACTAAATGTTTAAAATGGCTCGCCATAAAAATGTCTCGTAGGAGTTCTCCCTCCTACTCATGTGGTGTTTGGATCTGACACAAATATACACATATTACCCCCCCCACACACACACACACACACACACAGCATCCGCCCGGCGTCCATACAAGCTTGATTATATATTTTTTAGGTTGTTGGATTTGACGCATATGTATGGGACAAAATACAAACTCTTAAGCTGGCAGAGCACTCGAAATGAAGTCAAAGTTGGCATCTTCTCTCAAGAAAATGGAGGGATAGAGAACGTGGAAACAAGCATTACGTTTGGCTTTGTTTGCCGGAGGGTGTGCATTCTGGTTAACAGAACATGTCAGCAGTTTTGCACAGCCTGCATTTTCACTCACGATGTTGCCTGAAAGCTGGTCAACAATGTCACATGACTGGTTTCCGCCACATATAGATAGTCGAAGTCACTAGCCGCTAGCCTCTGCCACTAGCTTCTGTAATGTAATGAAGGTTTCTGGGGTTATATGTCCATTTTTAAGGGAAAATTCAACATGCTAGCTGCTAAGCTAACCAGCTACTGCTGGTAGCGTCGCTGCACTGACATGAAAATAGAAAATGAACTAACACTCATACACAAACATATTTTCCACAATGTCAAACTATTCCTTTAAGCTATAATTATTTACAATTGTACTGGATACAGCGGCTACAGTACCCCTCAACATTTTGACAAAGATATTTTGTTTTTAGTATTAGCGCTGCACAGTTTCCATGTGGCTCCCACGTTGTATTTTATCTTGGTTAAAGTAACAGGGTGTTCATGTTTTATTCCACAATTGGATAGCAATTTATCTCAAAATGAACAGAAAAAAACAGTGTTCGAAAGCTCAAAAATAATCATCGCTTCGTGTTCAAATTTTACTAGCCAGTAGAGTAGTGGCTCATTTAGCTTTGAACATGAACAGACAGGCTTTTGACCAGGAAACCCTCGCAGTATGAACTCACAGGTTATATCTGCTGGGTTAACGCCATTAAACACACTATGACCACTATGTTCACTTGTCATGGCCTTAATTTTACATTTGATGGCAGTTTAACAACATACCAAATCTTGATTTCGTTTGGATTATACTGCCAGCTTCTCACTCGCCCACACACCCTTTCATTTTTTTTTTTTAGACGTGGCTGTACCTGACAATTACACACTTTCAACATTCAACAAATACCCAGAGCCACACACTCCCCCATGAACTCTCTCACTCTCTCACTACTTTAAAAGCACACATTCAGAAGTAGCTCAGCACTGGTTAGCTCTTTCATGTGGCCGAAGCCAAAAAGCCAAGGAGCCAAGGCCCACGTTAATTTTCTGCGGGTTCTGCTCTGAATCGTTCTGGTTTATTTTTCTTACAGCATAAAAAGTTTCTCCGATCCATAGCTGAGTTCCCCATTTGACAGATTTATTGGTTTGGCCTCTGAACCTTCGTTTCAGCTCCTCTCACTCTGATCCCACTCATGTCAAACACGGACAAAAACACACAGATACTGTACAAACACGCACTCAGAAATACATTTAACAACCAGCATTGCAAAGGGATTGGGATCCTGCAGGACCCAGAATGGGAAATATTTACTGTAATATTGGCGGGATTGCACGCTCTGCATCATCACTGTGGGATGGAATTAAATATACGAAAATATAAGAGGCTGTTATTGTTGGACTTAACCATGCATGTAAACGCATCTCTTTCCAGTAAATCATAGAAAATCAAGTTAAGTTTTAATTGAGTTAGTCTCTCTGGCTTTCTCCTCCATTTTGTCCCATGAATCGTTTAAACATCTGTAACATTACATATTTTCATCGCTAATGCAATCTCATCTGTAAACTACTGTGCTATCAGCGCTGGGTTTGTATTTGTTGTTCTGGGAACCGACATAAACTATCAGAGAAACCGAGAAACAAATAATCAAAATTTAAATACACTTTTATTTCCATGCTGCCTCGAACCAAAGCAGTCTTTTAAATGCCTGCAGGATGGGTCTGATTCTCAAAGAAACAGCCATGATCGCAGACGTGACTGATCTGAATTTGCACAGGTGGAAGTGGGAAGGTGCATCAACAGAAGCAGATGGTAGCATTCCAAAATCTTGTAAAAAAAAAAGAGAGAGAGAAGTACTGTGCAGACGTCAATGTGTGGGCACACGAACATACAGTACAAGCATATAAAAGACAGACAAACATTAATGTTACATAAGCATCCAGTTTTGTGAGACATCAAGGTTGAATTAGTTGATAAAGAGCTTGAAGTGAACTTATGAAACAGGCAGTTTTCACTCCAGATGTAACAAATAAATACCACTAACAATAAAGTTAAATAGAAGTGGGACAAATTTGCTGATTTAGTATTAACATTAAAAACAAATCACAATTTACTGCCTTGCAAAGTGGCTGAAGTCGCTCAAATTCCAAAGGCCAGAGTCCATTTGACGCCAGTCCTGTCTAGTACTTTCTCAAGTTCCAACTTAATAAAGGCTTCTTTATTATACATCGGGCCTGCTTCATAATTTACAGCCAGATGCCATGACCAGCTGGAGTTACAGGACCAGCAGTATATTATTCCACTTCTTTAGTTGGGTTGGAATCCACTCAAAGTCACCAGTGGCCCACTTTGGGTCCTGAGCCACAGGTTGAGAAACATGCATTTTCTGTACAGAGTCTCTTGGCAGTTCAGTTCATTGTTCGGCCCCTCTTTGAATCACGTTTTCTCATCGATGAAAAATGAAAAATCTTTTTAAATGTATCTTGATATTTTACGCGGTTCATTATGCTGAGTACAGAGCATCAGTCATTGCAGTTTTTACTTGCTCGAAAATGTATTTTAAATACTACCAATTAAAATATCCCTCTGTGTTTTGCCAAAAATGTCTGGTAGTTATGACCCTGGTTATGAGGCTTAGACTCATTAAAACCATTTAGAACACATTCAATCATGAATGTCAAGAGGAAATGTAAAGTTTAGTTACTGGGAAGACTCGACTGTGTGAACGTGAATGTATTTGTTCTTTAGAATTTGTCTAAAACTGTACACTGTCTTCACATGGGACTCCAAGCAAACTAAACTTTAACACACCTATACTGAGCTCTCTGTTACGTGGCATGAAATCAGTGCCACATATGTCTGCGAACCTAACAGTTCTTAACCTTAAAGAAGAACAGAATGGAAACGTCTCCTGCAGTGTGTCTGTGCGGCTGCAGCGTCCTGGGAAAGTAGGTCTGTAACCTCATCAAAGCCTTTGCCATGCTTTTCTCTGCCTTTCATCACTGTGGTCGCGGTCAGCCATCTCGTGGTCAGACCCCACCTATCTGAAGAAACTAACAAAACTCTCACTGTAGGTGAACTGTTGGTTTATATCCATTTGGGGGAAAAAGCTGCATGTAACTCATCAGTGCTATTTACTGCTATTCACAACCTAAATATACAATATTCAATTAACCATCACTGTGGATTATTTTCAAAAAAAGGTTTTTAGATTAATATGAACTGTTCAAGGATACTCCGACATCTGAGATTGGCTGAACGGCAGCCAAATCTTTTTTCACAATGTTTTATGTCAATCAAAAGGGTTTGATCGATTGAACCTCAGTTCCATGAAGGTCAAGGAGAGTGTCCGGGAAATTTGAAAAAACTGCTGCTTGCAACTAAAATATCGTAACTTTGAAAAGGAAAGGGCAACATATTGTTCACGGTCATGGATTACATATCTCAAGCATTTTGCAACTTCCTGGAAGATGATTTTCAAAGCGAACTGGAATTACTGCCTGGAAGGTACAAATCAATCTAAAAACATCTGTTCTGCTTTGGAGAGTTGGCAGCGTGTACGTGATTGGTAATTAATAGGCAAGATCATGCAAAGCCACCAGTATGGTCCTTGAGGGCAGCACTCCTTTCAGAAGGGGTTAGATGATTTTTAAAATGTTCAATATCTGCTTTTGGAACAAGACTTTTTTTTTTTTCTGCAGATGCTCCAAATCCAAAACATCCTCTCCCATGTCCTTGTCACAACACAGAGTCAGTTAAACTGAGCGATCTGGACATGCAGTTCATCCTTCATTCAACATGCTATGCAATCTAATGTATTCTACTTTTGTTTCTTTATTCACAAGTCTTTTGTCCAGGTGCAACAGTCTCTGCTGTTCACATCCTCCTGTACATACTTCAGTTGTTTGTGTGTAGCTTAGTTTGAAAGTTTGTCACTATAATGAAAGGATGCCTTTTTTTGTTTGTGGATAAGTGCATGCACATGTCGTAGTCTCTGTACATACAGTATATATCTGTCTCAGTGTATAAGTTAAGTTAAGTGTGTGTGTGTGAGTGTGTGTACCTGTGTGCGTCTTAGTGTGGACATTAACATAATTGTGTGTGTATGTGTGTGTTTAAGTCACTGGAAATTCGCCCTCTTGTTCCACGACACATTCAAGCGCTCCTTGGTGCCCTCTGCTGTGGCTTGCTCCTGCTCTTCCTCCCCGCGGCTCTTCCTCCCCCTCCTCCTCCTCCTCCTCCTCCTCTCCCTCAGCTCTCTCCCGCTCGCTCTCTCCCGCCGCTCGCTCTCCCCAGGAGGCGTCGCCGGACTGAGCGAGCACACAGAGTTCCCGCTCCGCCCCGAGCTGCCCGACGGCGAGCGGCGCTCGGCCGGC